TTCGTCAACGTCTAGGCTTCCTGTGTAATCAATTCCTAGATCGTGTACTGATTTAAGTGTCTAGACTTTACTTTTATTTAAGTAAAGTTGTGGTTCAAAGCGGTTCTTTCCAAAGTGCACGAACCCTCATTTGTGGAGGTTAAATGGTATTTGTCACTTTCTGCTCCAGATAGTGGGGTTATTATGACCATCTTGAATCAGGGATACACTTTCATTTGGAGCCTCAGGCTTTTAGCTGTATACTATTTTGAGATCATCAGCATATAAGTGTGGTTTCCCGAATTTTATGGTGTTACATATATTGTTTATATACATGAGAAACAAGAGTGGGTCTGATACACTTCCCTGGATGACGCCACTAGTTATTGGTCTAGGTAATGAGAGACGGCCGTTGTACTTTATCATTTGTTTACGTCTTTTTAAGAATGAAACAAACCATGAATTGAGTGGGTTGTTGATTCCGAAGGACAGTAGTTTGGCTGGAAGTCTTTTGTGTGGGACCTTATTGAAAGCTTTCTTAAAGTCTAAAAATATTACTAACACAAGGAGTCCATTGTCTCGTTTCAGAGTTATATCATTCATGTAGTCCACTTGGCATGCATCACATGATCTTGACCTAAGAAATCCATGCTGGGAGACCGAGATGAGATTATTAGTAATTAGATGTTGGACTACCGCTGCCTCAACTACTTTTCCATCACTATAGACACCACTGAAGTTATGTTTATGGGTCGGTAATTTTCAACATTTGCTTCAGGTCCTGTTTTGATTTTGGGAATGATGTGTGTAGTTTTCCAGGCAGTAGCGTAACACGCTGTAGAGAGTTATATCGTAAATAGTTTGATTAATGAAACAGGTATCATCACCTCCATGTTTTAGCATGCTAGCCGGAATACCATCTGGTCTGTTTGTGTAGGAGTGTTTCAATGTACTAATTACCTTAGAGATATTTTGTATGCAATGCACAACCTCAACTAGAATCAAGAAGCCAACGAAATTTACAGCTTAAGGAGTCGAGAGGAATAAAAGACAACAATGTATATGTGAAAGGATGTTCACACACAAAACGTCCAGAGAGGAACTTACGTAAGTGGACTGGAAAACTCACTAAAAGCCGAAGGGAGTTATAGTAGCTGCCGTAGAGATGCTATCGCTTTTCAAGCGAAATTGACTATATGTCTTGGTGCAGTTAAGTTTTAAAAATATGGTCGCTTCCTTTTTATGTGGTCGTCAAGTCATGAATGTGAGAAAGGGGATAAAAGTCCAAAGTCGTCTCTGGCTTAAGTTGTTTGCAGGAAGTGATAGTTCCCCAGTACTTTGTGTCCTTCTTAGGAAATAAATGCAACTGGGTGATTCAATGACCGTTCTATTGCCGGATTATTCTCAAATCAATTACGTGTTTGGACCCATGTTTCCCCATTTTTAGCTGGATAGGAGTCAAAAAGGTGATTTTGAAGACTCGAATGGTCCAGTTGTTGGTATTTAGCGTTCGTCATTTACGGTCGTACGCAAGGTATTCGACTTCAGCTTGTACAGTTTGAGGCATTTGTATAGTATGGTCTGGAAGTTAGAGTGACCAATAATTTTGACTTGATAACGATACAACGTACGAACATAACGTGGCCTCAATTCACTATCCTTCACTCGCTAAAGTCAGTAAGTGGGTTTCAATACTGTAACAGAATTTATGTCAGTAACAGAAGCCGAAAAATCCGCATCAGCACAGATTTAGTGCATGAATTCGCTCGGACCCTCGTTTATATAAGTAGAGGATGTGTTTTACTTGGAGGTCAGATTGTAACTTGATTCACACTGATGATTCATTCGATGCTTTCAATGATCCCTTTCAGCGTCACGTCTTTGATGTATAACAGTGTACTATATCCACTGGCTACAAATGGCATTCGAAAGTGTTACTTGGTTTCCAGACGTTACAGTAGCAGTACTAGGGCTGACGAGTGTGTAAATCCGTTTTTTAACAGCTTCGAGGCATTATGTCCAATGGACTACTATACGAAACCGTTCATTGTTTCCTTTGTATCATGATCGAGAGAGAGGTTCTGATGACCTCCAGAAAATGGACGGCCATACTTAGTTCCTCAGGTGTGTTATCTGAAAAGATAACGGGACTGCTTATACATTTTGTGAAAGCTTGAACAAGGAAATTTGTCTGAAGAAGTCTTCGTTAAATATACACTGGTCATTAATTTCTCCTGCATTTTAATTTTTTTTGTTGCTGGATAGTGTTTTGATTAGGTAATGCGGAAAGTTCATCTAATCTTTATGTACTAGTCAGAAATGCTATTTCAAACTCATCATTCTTAAGTGTTTTGCTCAATTCAGGAATATCTTTGCCACACATATCAGGCTCAACTGACCAGTGCATTTTTTGTAGTAGCCCTTTTTATGACTGGAAAGAACCATGAATAGTTGCCAGTTACTCAGTGCTTGTGAAATTTGGCTTTCGTGTATCAAGTCCGGGCCTAGGCACTATGGGGCTACAATGTCACGTTGAAAAACGGGGAGCGGATCTGTAATATTTCATAGAAACTTAGGAATGTGGCAAGATGCTATGGAATTATAAATGTACGAACTTGTAAAAGAGTTCGACAAAGTAAAACCATGTCAAAAATGTAATAGATATGGGTTAAGATCTGGAGACGGATTCAAAGGGTGTTCCACGACGCATCATACCGCATGTAACTAATGGATGGAGAAGAGTTGTATAATGCTATTTCCAAGTTTCTTTACTCGAAATGATCCCACAGCCAATTAAAGTATGGTAGGATGGCTGGCTTCTTAGCTACGGCCTAACTTTAGACTCAAAGGCTCACTATCAAAAGATTAAAAACCATCAAATGTAAAAGCTAGCCTAGGGTTTTCCTTTTGTACATCGTGTGGCTGAAGGCCAGACGTTACCACAAATCTAGATGAAAAAAGTCTATATGTGAACACCCTTATGACGAGACTACGATCACAAAGACACAGTTTTCGAAACAGTTAAAAAATTTACCCCAACTACTATTGTTATGAATTGTGGGACAGATTTAAGTTACCGGGGACTGACGAGGCAAAATCTCAGTATCAAAAGGCTCGAAATACCTGTGCCTCAACCCTCCGTAAGGCCAGAAAGCTGTACGAAGAGAAAATCGTTAGGGAATCCATAGAATGCCCTAAACGCTTGTATTCGTATATAAACCAAAGGACAAAAAGAAGAAGAAATGTTCCTTCACTATGGGGAGGCAGTACTGCCACATCACTAGTGGAGGACGACTTTGGCAAAGCTCAAGTATTCTCTAAATACTTTAGCGATGTATACACCATAGAAACACCCTTCTCACCAGTCCATGAAAATCCCCCACACAAGCATTGGACAGCGTAACCATTAAAGAACTCGATGTCTTTGGTCTGCTAGTTAAGCTTGACATAGGTAAATCCACTGGACCAGATGAACTGCATTCTAGGTTACTAAAGGAATTAGCTAACTTTGTTGCGAACCCTTTAAGTGTATGTTTTAATCTATCCGTAACCCAGGGTCGTCTATCAAAAGACTAGAAGAACGCCATAGTAAGTCCAGTCTTCAAAACAGGTACAAAACATAAGCCTGAGAATTGCCGACCAATTAGCCTAAATAGTGTGGTTGTTAAAATCTTAGAAAAGATTATTCGGAAGGAGCTGTTAAAGTATCTCGATGAAAACCGGATCCTCTCCGAAAAGCAGCATGGTTTTAGAACAGGTTACTCTTTTCTCAAAAACTTATTATTAGGCAATCTATTGATGTGGAAAAAAAAGACTTCCTAGTTGAGCGTCAACAAAGAGTAAGGGTGAACTCCAAGTTGTCTAGCTTGGAAACTGTGCTTAGTGGAGTCCCCCAGGGTACAGTTTTGGGGACAGTGTTATTCCTCCTGTACGTAAATGATCTCCCTCGTCTACTATCGTCATCGATCTTACTCTATGCTGATGATGTCAAGATATGGAGAGCGATACAAAGCAAGGGCGATAGCTTAGAACTTCAAAATGACCTGGAGAGATGATCTGAATGGTCCCAAACCTGGCAATTGCCGATAAACACTTCCAAGTGTATTGTGATGCATACTGGCCACCAGGGTACAGATACATACACGATGAATAACACTGAGTTACCTATTGTTCAGGCACACAATGACTTAAGCGTCATCGTCAGTCAAGACTTAAAAACTACTGCACACTGCCGTGCAATAGCCGCCAAAGGTTTTAGGACTTTATGGTCCATACGCAGGGCTTTTAGGCATCTTGACGCTGAAACGTTTCTGACTTTGTATACAGTGTTCGTACGCCCTAAACTTGAGTACTGCATACAAGCAGCTAGCCCCTGCCTAAAAAAGACAGTGAACTCTTGGAAAGAGTTCAGAGAACAGCAACTAGGCTGATTCCCGGAATAGCGAAGCTCCCGTATGGTACTAGACTGACCAAGCTAAACCTATTCCCGCTGTCATATAGAAGAATCAGAGGCGACAACATATTATAACATATTATTATGATTTACCAAATTCTTTTTTTCCCTCTATTATCGTTCATATACCTAGGTTCTTGCCTGGAGGTATTGGTGATCCACTGCTATCAGACACGGAAGCTCGTTAAGCGAAAGCTTCTTCTATTCCGTCCTCAACCATTTGAACCATTTGACTTGATTACAGTTTTCAAATTGCTTAATGACAAATTTGCACCTGATATGCCCTCATTTTTCTTGTCCTACAAAAAAGAAAATCTACGAGGACACTCCAAAAAAGTTTACAAGCCCCGAACGAATTACTTGTCAGCTGGATACTGACTTTTCCATCGAATCATCAACGAGTGGAATTCATTACCTCAGCACGTGGTTGAGGCTCCATCCGTCGACTCCTTCAAAAGAAAGTTGGATCAGCTGAGAGACCATCATTGCCATGACTAACACAGGCCATCAAGCCTCCTGTCCTTTCCAAACTGAAACTGAAGGTTTGTTTTAAATATCTCCTGGTGCTGCGTTTTCGTATGAGATAACGTTTTATCGCTGGCAGTATAATGGCGACAGCTGTAGCAGTTAAACAGAATATTGGAAATGTAAACATCGACTTTATTTTAATCTCTTTAACAGTGGTCAAAAATGTTTCCTAATGAGCTAGGAGTCGAAATCCAGTCCCTAGTTTTTATAAAAAAGCTGTTTGCTGTTGCAGTATCTTATGTTTTGTATTTCAGGGATATTTTTCCTGAATCCGCCTTCCATGACAAACAACTAGAAGGTAAAAAAACAATATTAACCTATAAAATTTCAGGGATCGAGCTAAAGATTTTGAAGGAAAGCTCTATCTTACCTGCTTCTTCTAAAATAGTTTATTGGCTTAAGGGTTGTTTCGATGCTATTGACCGTCATTTTGTAGGTCTTTTCAACATTACAATAAGAGTTTGTCTAGCTTAGATCGGCGACAATTGCGCTTTATTCGGCCGACAAAGATTTACATCCCAGCGAATTTTGTGAATATAACATCATTGAATCGTATTGTTTCAGACTTTCTTATGGTCAGGAGAAGCTGTCACTTGATTTGAAAACTGAAAACAAGAAAGAATCCAGCACTTTATGCGAGATCTCAGACTTCTCTGAAACTGAAGCTCGGAAAGCTACTTTGAGTCTACTCAAAAATATTCAAACTGCTGGAGAAAGACTATCTAAATTACCATCAGAACTAATGATAACGATGAAGCTGCAGTATTACGATGAAGGTAATCAGGTCTATTAAGTAAATTTCGTAGGCTATCAGGGTTAATATTTCAAATCTTGCTGATATCTTTTATTTTAAATCACTGCCAAGACTTACTCATTTTTAAAACTCTGAGTGGGTCTTTAAACTCACTAGTCTGAAAGTTGCAAATTGAAAATGATGTAAGAATACCGTTTTTGGCTTCACAGACGTTAATAAACCTGGTCTAATAATGAAATGACGTATTCTAGGACAGAATTTCTACTGAAAGTTTCAACCTTAAGTACATAAAAAAACTAAAAGTGTATATTTATTTTCTATCTAAATAAATACACTGATTAAAACTAATGAGTAAAAAGATGACAAATTAATTGGGCTTTGTGAATTACTTCTTGAATTTCCTGGTTTGAGAAACAAATAAATGCTAAATAGATGTGAAGATACCCTCATCAGATTTTGCTAATTCACAGTAGTTGTTTCCATCATATCACTGAAAACGTAATATTTTTCTAACAAATCCGCTGAAGTCAATGCGAAGACAAAAGTGGGAACAAAATGTTTTGAAAGGAGTTGTTCTTGGTTCATCTTCAGTTGTAGCAATTAATATTTCATCGAAAATCTGAGGAAAGACTTGTGAATATTATATCATACTACTCGCCACTTTTCTTAGAAATTTCTTACTGCTTATGTCACATTATGACCGGAATATCACGCTACATGCCTGCAACACACAAAAGCATTTATTATCTTTACATATGTGCTGTGCAGTTTCAAAGTCGGTTGTGGGTGTAGTGATGGCACAACGACATATGTAGTGTCAAATTGGTTTAAAACTGAGTTAGTAGCACGAGGCGTAATCATTTCACTAATGTGCTTTAAGAACATGTTGATTGGGTTTGATTTTTACATTTATGCTTAATAAAGTGAGTAAAATATCTAAAATTTAGACTATTATCTTAATGAGTATATTTCTTATTTAACCCATTGTTTTCTATTTATTTTGAAACGATGTGTTCAAAAGTTATTTACTGATTAGTTTTATAAAAATTCATGCTGTCAGTGCACGTGATATCGGCAGCAACAATGACAGGAGTGAATTTTTTCTAAAGGAGATGGCTGTTATAATATTAGTGTAGTGACTGATATTATTTTGCATGTAAGATATCAAAAAATAAAGCCTTTTGATGATCACGATATATTTGATGGGATGAAAAAGGACCGGACCATTAAAAAGCAATGATCAGGTTTTTTACCTTTCTGACAAAAAACCGTCTTGAAAAAAACGTTCCCAAGATTCAGGTATATTTAAGTACTTAGTGTCAATTGCTAAATTTCATCACTTACATTTCATAAATCACGAAAAGAGGGACCGAGATATGATGCAGTAAGTTATTCGATAGCACGTATATCAAGCTGTGCGCCTCCATTTGCATTACCCTATTCGAAGTAAGGTGACAGCTCCAGCAAAAGACTCAAGTTTGCAAATATTATTAACCATATTTCTATGGAGCTTGAGTTTCACGCAACAATGAATTATTTCTAGATTCGACTACTCTAATATTTGGTTTTCGATTTGTATAGGCTTTGTTTATGAGCTTTAGTAAACTTGTTGATGAATTTAAGTATTATATTCCAAAAGGCTATTAGTATTTCTTTAGAATTGGTTGATGAGATGAAATAAGTCTTTAGCTTATACAGATACGTCTTCATGAATAAAAGAGCTTATGAGACTAACCCTATCCTGATGAGGTTGAGCACAATTTTTTGAAAATGAAACAGAAAACGGTGTATTTGCTTATTTCATATCATTTTTGACTTATTAAAGTCACCCTCTAGTGGTTATATATTTATCTAAAGCCATTTTATCAATTCAATCAAAACATTTGTCTGTTGGAGTTAATGATTAAAATTCATTTTAAAGCAACTAATATCTCTGTTTAGTTTTCCTCTGCATGCAAATAAACTAAATGTTACATGTTTGTGTGTGCACAGTGATACACCACGTAACCTTAGACCATTGTTTGTAAAGCTGTTATGATGCAACCAGTGATTGGTAAAAAAGTAGGCAATTTTTAAAAAACTGATTGTAAGTTGGAGTAAAAAAATTAAACCTAAAATCTTAATTACATGAAAGTAAGAGTGGCCAATTGCCAAAATTGATTTTAATCATAAACAACATTAACCGTCATTTTTATTCGAAAAATCTTCTTAAACTATTTACCTGGTTACAAGTAGTCAATAGAAGATGAAAAAAAGAATTTCAAATAGTTTTGTAAAACTTTCTAAAATAGAATCAGATTCTCATTGTACGAAAGCAGTAAGCATTCATAAGATGAGTTTTGATTGTGGATCTAAATTCACTTGGTTGAGCGATGTATTTTAGTAAGTTTAAATTTCTAGTTCTAAAAGACATGTTTATCTGTTTTAAAGTAATAAATAAGCAAACAGTGAGCAAAGTAAATACTTGAACCATAAAATTAATTAACAATACGCATGCAATCTACGCTTTAATTTTAGTTACACCCGAGAGTTACGTTCCCCCTGGATTCAAGCGTGCAGATAATATCAGTTTCAACTTTGAAGAAGATAACATTAATATTCGGCTCGGTAATGTGAAAACTGTATGTTAGCATTATTTTACTGAACTAATATTACCTTACCAGGCTCATCACAGGTATGTGTTATTTTATAAAGAGAAGTTGTCGTAGCATCAAAATGCATATACAGACTAGCCGACGATTATTATCTGGATCTGTGAAATCTACTAAATCAACACAAGAAGATGAGAGCATCCATGAACTTTCGGTTAGCTTTAGAATTTTACTCAGTATTCGTGTTACGAGTTAAGCAAGCCAATGGAACTTTGTCTTATTCATAATAAAATTTAGGTTTCTTTTGTTATATACGTTCAAATTTAGTTTGTAATTTGAAGAATCTTGGTTAGGAACTAACTATTAAGAGTATTTTGTTGGCATTTAGCTGTTAAAATAATTTAGAAATTTATTGTTACCACTGAAGTTTTGAATCACAGCTGTTTATTTATGTAGACCGTAATCAGTTTATTTAATTCAAGATAATCGGAAAATCTAATGAACTAAAAAGTTTACTGTGCAGTTGTCAGATGATATCATACTTAATATAAGTAGATAATAGAGCGATAACATGATACAGTAGACTCAATCAGTTATTCCTACACAAATTTATTTCAAATGATGTGTACATTTTACACGTTTAAATGAACTGTACAGTTTTAAAATGTATGACAATAACTTGGATCCTTTGAATGATTAAATAGAAATTATTGGAATAGAAATATAATTTGATAAAACTCATTGGTTCAAAATAAAGACTTCGAAAAAAACAATGAAAATTATGATAGCTTGTAGATAAACAAATGCAAACAAATTAACAGCACAATTGTATGACCAGATTTTAAAATAATTACCTGAAAAGTTAGTAACAAATTGTGTCGACGTATATATCATTTAAAAATTGGTAAACTAGTGTATACCGTGCGGATATTTTAATCTGCAAGAAATCAAATCATTGACGTTTGATTTTAATGCTACTTCTGATTCATGCCCATTTACAGGTAAACTGTACAAACTGGGCCTTAGTTTTTATATTGTTCAGCCAAATGTATAGAATTTGTTGGTTTCACTTCATACTGGCTAGAATAGTTGTCATTTTAAAGTAATAAAAAGGTGTGAATCGAGTTCATTCATCTAAAAGTAACCAGGAAAAGACATCAAAAGAATCCTATTTTTGAATTGGTCGAGTAGCATTAAACTGACGATACAAGTTATCAAACGTTTTGTAAAGAATTTGTAGGTATGATTACCAAGGTTTGACTCGATAATTTCGAATAAACTGAGCATTGGGTAGATTGTTATAAAAAATTAATGTATTTCTAATATCCAAATTAGTAGAGAAATTAAATTTTCTGTTGTTTTGTGACTCAGTGAAAGCCACTTCCTTATAGAATAAATAAAATCAGAAAATTTAGTTTTTCTACCCATTGGGATATTACAAATATATTTATTTATTTATTTTGTAAAGAAAATTTTAACAACTAAATTCAAAGTTGTTAATCTATTCAAGGAATAAGGACTGGGACGGTTGTATTTTTTATGAAATGCGAAAAAACCTCGAAATGTTACTTAAAACAGTCTACCAACTTCTGAAGAAAAATACACTGTACAAATAAACTGTATCTTAGTATATATTTCCCTTGTTTTGACAGTTAGGTTCACTGAACGCAAGTAAAGTGAATGAAAACGATGATCTCAGTTTATCATTTCAACAACAAACACTTGTATCTGACGAAAATGAATCAGAAAGTTACGAAGCTCGCTGCCCATGTGGTGTAAATAAGGTAAGTGAACAATAATGAAACTAAAAGTCAAAAATTACAACAAACTTCTGGCTGAAGTGACACACCAAAGACGTTTTATCCACTCCGATGGAATTTTAACGTAAACACAGTTATCGACCAACGTCACTATTCTTGTATAAATCCAGAAAGTCAGTACGTGATTACTTATACCCAATTTTGTTTTTATGAATAACAAAATATTTATCATTCCAAATCTAATTAGAGTTTTAACAACCAAGAAGTTTTAATTGACCTCTTGTTTCCGAAAACATTTGTCACTATGAAACTCATTTCATCTTTTCATGGTACCTTTATTATTTATATTGTTAACCCGTCCTTCTCTGGTTTTATTTTTCTCTTCAATTATCCTTACTGTGATCTACTCAAGTCCACAAATTGTTGTTACTCTTTCCAAAACTACGTCTGAAACCGCAATTAGAGACTTTTAATGTCTAATCGAACCAAAGCGTCCACCAGCTAAGACCTTATTATCCCTTATCAATGGGAATATGTGTCTTCAAATCTTGCACTTAGCGCAAAGTTTGCTTATTAACATGACTTTATCTAGATGACGTGGGATACCAGTGTGGTTCGACCATCGAGTTTATAAATACTTGACCTCTACGTTCATTAATTTGCTGGTATATGCATATCATTAAGTTCAAAAGCAAGACAGATTCTTCTTAAGTGGATTCTAGCCAAAGATCACTTTTTCTCTCTTAAAGTAATCAGTAAGACCTCGGGAGGAAAGGGGAAATCATCATTAAGGTTTCATTATCTCACTGATTGGAAACTTGTTCGTAGTTAAACGGGATCAACCTCAATTATGAAGTAAGAAATTATCTGAACTAATGACTGATAAAATCAACTTAACTACATTCAGATCACATTCTTGTCTTTCATCCATAAAGTTATTTGGTAAATAGGTGCCATTATATCTGGAGCACATATCTGGACCCTGATCATGCTTTTGAGCGACTACACATCGTCTGTGAATTACAGGACACAGAAAAATTGCAACAGGAAATCCTTAGAGAGGTCAGTTAGAAGATCAATGTGTCAGTTATGTATTTATGAAAGAATAAGATTGACACAGAGTGACAGTAAAAGATGTCCATCACGTGCCAGCTTACCATATCCATTGAGCCATAAAAGTAACATTGGCATCTTTTAACGACCTCAAACGAAATGTTGAGAAAAAAGTTAGCACAATTCAGTCTTCTTAACTTATCTTTGATTGGAGTCTGCAAGGCCACCGGATTCTATGGCTAAAATACTTAAGCGACACGACTATAATTTATTTTTAGGGGTTCAGTTGAATTCAGTTTTTATCTTCCACTAAGTATTGGATTGTGATAGCAGTTTATATTTCTCATCTCTAGATTTAACTCACTATTTTCAAACCAAATTTCTTTATTTTTTCCACTACTAACCTTAATAATCCAATTATTTCTCCTATATTAATGCAAATCTTAGTAATTTGGACTGATTTATATTTATTTCAAGTTTTAAGTTGTATATGGCTGAATTGACGAATATCTAGGGGGATCATATTATTTTACGTGCATACTTTTATATTGCTAATTTGTCAGTAGTAATATTTCTGAATACTTCGAAGTGTGTATCCACTAACTTTGCTTTAATAGAATCCAAGTTAAATTTCTTCCCTCGTATATTTTGTTTCAGTAGTCTAAGTGTCATTCAAAAAGCTTCAGGTGATCTACATATACTTAAAGGTATAACCGTCACTCTAACTGGTTACGCGTAATAACTAGGTGTTTTTTTCTGACCAAAATTGGTTTTATTTAATAGAGAGGTTGAAATATTACTTGGCTATCTCTTGTGATGTGATAAACTTCGATTATTTGAAATAAGCATTGATGTCTGACTTTTCTTCATATTACTGAGGAAACAACTACTTAAGTTGTAAATAAATTTTCACCGCATTACTAAATGTACAATCAATGAATAATACTGATCAAAACTTATTCGCAATTTTATAGCTAGAGTTGCATCATGTACAGTATTCTAGTTCAAAAACTGATCAGTTTTGCATAAAAATAATAATTTAAGTAATCTACTACCAATGTTTTTCAAGTAATTTATTCAGATTAAGTTGCCATTAGAAACAATAATTGACAGCACTGTGTTGTAACATTTCGAAGTGCATGCTGAAACATTCTGCAAATTCACATAAAATACAGGTTTGTGGATTTAATTTTATACAAAAATTAACTGAAAACGAAAATAATGAGAGTTGTTCCACTAAATATAACAATTGTTCAAAACCTAGAAATGCACAAAAATTGAATGAAATTTTTTCATACCGCTAAACTATCAGATTAAAAACTATTTCTACAGTGCTTTTATTTACAATATCAATCAAAGAAAAAGTTCTAGGGATCGGTATTGGTTGTTTGAGAGAAAATTCTAAAATGAACTCGTCAACATTATGACTTCATTTAATTTTGGTGAATCCTTTTTCCCTTTTACGCGGTAGAAACTTCTGTTTAGGTTGAAAAGCATCTATGTAACTTCTTTTTATTATGAAATTTTTAAAGTTATGTTACTCATTGAATCTTTCTTTTTTATCATATAAAGTTCATAAGATTGTCACATTTTAAAGAAAATTTTAAAACCATACGAAATTTGAGAAGACACTTGAGTCCCAAAATAGTCATTATTTTTGTTACCTCTACTTTTCAAGCAGGTGGATTATGAAGCTAAAAGATTGGTTTCGCTTAGATTTTGCATATACGCTAGTAAATAAGATATATATTAATACCATTTTTCAAATCTATCCAGGTATTTTGAAACTAAAGCGTACTTAGTCTAAAATATTGTTTCTTTTGAATCGAGAATTGTTCTGTTCATATTCATTGGATTACTACTTGCACGCTTGGTATTACCATTTTGTTTTTGATTTGTTTCAATAGTACAAACAAATACATTTAGATCGTTTTGGTCTCAATAAGATAAGTGCATATTGTAATTCATACTTAATTGGACTTCATTGAGTTCGATAACCCAAAGAGTGAACAGTTGAATCAGGCTTTCTTATGGAAGTTTATTTTTATAAATAGCAGCAAAGTGCAATCGATTTTTGATTTTTGTGATTTGGTATTTCTAAAGATTAATAATTACGTCAACCGATAAATGGTAACTTGACTCACAGAATAATTTTACCACCGCAATAGTTGACTAGTATATTCGATTTGTATGAGATAGAAATGTGACTGATTATAGAAGTTCCCTGATTGATGAAAATAATTATATATGTATAGTAATAGGTTTTATCGTAAAACAGTGAGTGATTTTACACTTAAGGAAATTTTATTGTAAAGGGTTCATAATAAATGGTGAGAATTAAAACATTATTATTTAACTTATACGAATGTTCGTCAATATTAGGACGAATAGCTTGAAAACGACTTCATGTTTACCGAAGATTAGGATTGTTACCATAGTTTTTTACTTACAGTACATTAAGGAGAAATTTTAGTGCTTAACTATAGTGCTGTTTGATTAACTGTGTAATTTACTAAATGAATATTGGACGGCAATAACTTCAGTTTTCCTAAGTGGTCAAGATACATGTATATAACTTATTTGGTTATATTTTGTTCTGTTATAATACTTTAAAACGAAAGTTCTATAAACAAAAAAGGTTTTGATTTCTTTAGGACGATGGTGTGATGATTTTATGTGATGGATGTGATAAATGGCAACATGCTGTTTGCTTTCGAATTCTGCAAGAAGGGGACGTTCCTACATCACATGTTTGTGAGATCTGCGCTAAATTGAAAGTAATACCTATTTATTCTTTTTAAATGAGTGAAACCATTTTTATTCATTTTGCAAACGTTTGTTGATACGATTAGTATTTTTATGACACAGTCTGCACTCATTAAGAAAGTCGTAGGCTTGAACAAATAAACGTGTGCATATAGTTTGCCTTGAATTACAACTCACTTGACTCTTTTGAGTGAAAAGAAGCAAATTTTGAGTTTTTCTGCACTTAAAAAGCCTTTATGGCTAATTAATTTATGTCTAAAATATTCAGAGTACAAGGTCTACTTCAGGAAACCTTATGGCCATAAAAGAACTACGTGAATGTTCATCTAACTAATATATATTCATTTCAAAGTTGAAATCATGAGTCAATTGAAGCTAGACCACCATCGAAAACCTGGAAGCACTGGACGGCCGTTTCGTCCTATTATGGGATTTCTCAGCAGTGCGCAACCACGACCCCGCACCCGCAAGATTCGAACCCAAGACCTACCAGTTACGAGCCGAAGCCCGATCTCGCGAGTGCAGGATCGTGGGTGCGCACTGCTGAGGAGTCCCATAATAGGACGAAACGGCCGTCCAGTGCTTCCAGGTTTTCGATGGTGGTCTAGCTTCAATTGACTCATGATTTCAACTTTGAAATATACTGAAATATCCACAAATCCCCTTCTGAATATATTCATTTTTTATTCAGTTCAGTCTAAAATATCCAATTATGAAAAGAGAATTCTAACTGTCTGTTTTCCACATTATCTGAAAGTGTTAAACCACCACATTCAATTTTTAAGATGTAGCTTTCAGTGTGAAAATTTAGTACCGGAATTGTAAATTCAGGTGTAAAATAAATGATAAGTTAAACATTTTACAAACATAGCGTAACGTAAAATGCTAAGAGCTTTTTATTAGCAGAAGAAAGCTATAAAAAGTCGTTATAAGTTTGTGAAGATGGTGATGTTTGAAATAAATTAATAGATGTTTCAAAAATGCAGCTAATAAATGTTCTTCAATTTCTACTAAAATCAATTATACTGAAAAATGTTTTGCTTGCAGTGGAATTCTGTATGTGCATTTTATTTTATCCAGGACTCGCTGATATTCAAATAGTTACTCGAACCCGGTACATTAGCTTCAAAAGGCAAACGCGTTATACACTGAGCTACTGAGTCCAGTTGGCATTCAGTTGTTCAACGTGCATTATATTTATATCTTTATTAGAAAGGGTTCGAATTTTCCTGTTGTTGAATTCAAATACTCTCTAATAAAGATATAAGTATAGCTAAGATAAAAAATCGAGGAGGTTTTTACTTCAGTATGGTCATTTATTTCGTGCATACTTTAATGCGCTGACTAGAATTTTATTCTCTGCTCATACTGAAAAATACCTCTATTACACTGAACATGATCGTGCAGAAATACGTTTATTAAAATAAAAAATATATTACAGAACATACTACTTGATAGTTACTTATCATCTTATGTTTGTGGTTTATATATACTTCGAACTTAAGCTAAACACCATTAACAACCTTATTATTAATAAATCATACATGAATTAGTTAAAACAAATCTAACTTACAGTTTAACATAGTGTTTCAAAATTATTCATACTTGAATTTATGTGCATGAGTTACCAAGTGTTTGTATTTGAAATGACTCTAAAATAAAACTAGTTCATTGTCGATTGGAGAATATTTGACAATCGTCAAAGGTATATACTTTAGGACTTTAAAAATTATTAATCGATCACCCATAAATCCCTTATATGAGTGATTTCTATGATTTTAAACGTGTGTAATTAAAATCTCTATTTTCCATATGTATATGATAAAAATAGTATAGTTTAAGCTATTTTAACTTTGGAATTATTTTTGTTGAATCATTTAGCCTGAACTTCTTCGAACTGGAGGAATCACAGATGAAACTATTCAAAATTTGAGTGTTGAAGCTAGAAAGGTAGTTTGTTAAACTGATTAGTATGTTTTCAGTTGGTTATTTTCAAAGTGGCCTAATAAAAAGCTTTGGTTAGAATGATCATTTAATTTAACAGTAAATCTATAAAAAGTAAACCTGTTACTTACAAAAGCTAACAATAATAATTAGAAAATCAACTGAGGTGTAAAAGTTTATTTATTTAATACCAATCTTTTATACAAGGGAATTAGTTTAGTAATTCGTTAACAACACCAATATTCAGTTACAAGAGTGTAATTTATCATTGGATTTTATCACATTAAAATCCATCATCAAATAAGGACAAATAAAAATTCTCTTTCGTTATCGGCAGTCGTATTCTTACAATATAGCTGACTCTATATTAAGTGACAAATTTTGTTTTTTGTTCTTAAGAGGTATTTATTCATCTTTGATAACGATTTGAAAAGTTTGTTCATTTAATTTTCCTGGAACGTTTCAAATGTTATATCGCATAATTGTAACACTTTAAAATGATCGACATCAATATCCAAAATGTTTTACTGAAATCGGATGTTTTGTAGAAAAATACTGATCTTTCATAAATTCTCAAACTAATGATCTAGCTTTCCTGAAAAACGCTGGGGATAAATTTTAGAAAGAACATTAACTAACTTAAACCTCTTATTTTGAAGCTTCTCAGTGACACAATGGATAGGTAGTTGGATTTGCAAGTGAATAAAATTTATCAGTTTTCATCTTCACAACAGATATACCTAAGACTATAAAAGTTTATATTTTTATTTTTCGATTAATAGAGCAATATTCAGTGTAGTATATCCATTTGAAATGAGTTTTAATATATCAATTGTAATATCCTCTATTCTCTGTCTAAACACAGATATCTTATTATTACTCAAATGTAGTATTTATAATAATATTTAGTCTTCATTTTATAAAAATACCAGTTCGATCAATATAGATTTGATTTATCTTCGGGAAACACATAGATGAATGTTAGAGAATGTGAAATTTCCTGGATTAGAACTACGTGAAAGTAGATTAAAACGTGCATTATATCAAAGAATTGATTATTCTCTTAAATTTCAGCAAGAAACAATTGACATATTTATGAATGTCATTTTGAGTGGATTGAGGTAAATCTATATTCAAGCTAAATAATAAATGTCGCTAAGTATCCTAATTTCCTCTGAAAAAAAATATTGGGACTGTTAAAATCAGTCAACTGAAGATTTGATAGTCTTAGCCAGAAAACTATGTTTTTCTGTAATCAACTAAAACACTAATTCGAAAACTTTGGATGCAAATTTTACTAATCCTATCATTTGTTTATAGCCATTGAGTTCCCCTTTAAAAGGCATTTAAACGAACTATTAATTAGACAAGTAAAATCAATCGGATGAGGAACATTTTGTTGGTATAAGAACCACAAAATTTATTATTGATCAGACTAAATTTTACGAAATTGATTTGTAAACATTTGTTTTTACCTTTATTTCATTATTCACTGAACTTTAAACTTAACTCTCATTGGTTATAATATGGATTCAATCATACCATTTACAAGGAAGCAGAAAAACATCACACATTCTTTACTTTTAATCCAAAATCCATTTTAATTATGAATGGGATTTAGTGTTAGTATCTTGAATAAATTAAATTTGCTAACTTTATTAGAGAGCAATCTTATATTTATCTACAAAATTTTAAAAAGTGAATAGATCTAACATCCTAATAAATAGTTTGAATGTTTTGTTTTATATTTTAGGTACGATGTAAGGTATACGCTATAAAATAATAGACATTTAGTATTCTCTATTCTGAAGTAAATACACGTTACTGAGTAATTAATTGTGTTGATTAGAGCTAAAGATAGCAGTCAGTTAGTAGTGAGTGGTTAGTGTAATGTAGAAAAATTAAGTTATTCTAACTTTTACAACTATATTGTAGATGAAAAAAGGATACTTATTAATTTTTCTTTTAATGAGCATTTGTTTATGAATATGAAAGGAATTCGATGAAGTTAACTAAACTGTCCTCTTTTTGGCAAACCTAAAAAATATTTCAGAATTACAAACTGCATTCATGACAAGCTCAGTTTTACTGCTGAAATGTGGACTTCTATTTAACGTTTTATAAAGTGTATCAGTATCCAGCGGAACAATTTTTCATCTCTTACAACAAGACATATCTGAGCTTAATTCTGTGTAGATTTGTTTAACATCTTGTTTGAGACTTATAAAGAGATACATAACTAGAAATAAAGTTTTTAACAGGTTTTTTAGTGCTAAAATCACTTACAAATAAATTAAGCAAATTGATAAGATAATGGTAAGTGCCGATTTATTTCCATAAATATGTAAAGTTTGAGCAAAAACCGTAAGTAATTTTAAAATGTTTCCAGGCTACTTGCCTCTTTCGACGTGTATTAGCACTGTGTCTCAACGAAGATTCAGTCTCACCCGCTTTCATAGCTAGAAGTCTTGGAATAGAGTATACCGTGGCTCGTGGATTATTTAATCGTTTAATCAAGGAGCAAGTTATTAAAGGAGCAGGACCACGAAGGTAAGATGTTTTCTTAAAGATAAGCCCAAATAAAAAAAAACCAAAGGTTGAGATTTTTTCGGAGTTTTGATGACACTTGAAAATATCCCCTACATTGCTCATTAGATATGTAACATATTGGGAGTATCCATAAAATTTGATAAGTAAATGTATGATTTTTCCACTAAAAATTTGATCGGATTTGTTATTAAATTATTATTTCTCTCACCCTATCTGACCTATATTTATTCTAATCATTGATCTCTCGAGTTCATTTGACGTGTAAGCTTAATCAAGTTAACATTACATATTTTATTCCACATGTTATACTTTTAGACTATGTATTTTGTCTTAGACCAGGCCAGTTTTGGGATTATTATTTTCAATATAATTGAGGAATTTGAAGAGAATTTATTGAGAAGAATATTCTCCGTTCATATATTAGTCTTTTAATATGATGGGACATTTAAAATGTATGATTTCTAAAAAAAGGCTGTGGTATGCTGTAATACGAAATTTTGGAATTACATTTTTATTTATTACCATAATCATGAGATCTATTCTTCCTTCTAGAATATCATCACTATATATCAGCAGCTACCAGTTCAAAATTATAAAAACCTAGTGAAATTAAGTAGTCAGGGAATTGGATTACTAAGTAAACCACACAGAAGCTTCAAATACGGATATATCAAAACAGTTATTGAGTTAAATAGTGATAATAACTGTAGTTGGTTAATATTTATTCGCTTTATTTCAGAGGTGAAAAGCTTGTTGAGAAAGAATATCTAGAAAATATTATGTGTCCACGTTTCTTCTCTCACACTAGTTTGCATGATAAAACATCAATGGTAAGTAATACTTGGATAAATGAACATTTCGGGAGTCAATTTTGTAATAAGATAGACAATACATAGAGTTTTGAAATGAAATAACACAACAATATGTATTGTTTGGGTGTTTTAATACTTAATATAAAACTTCCATTACAATCATTTAATCAAGATGTACTAGATAACTTTTATCGAATTTAGAATTTCTCAAAGCTAAGCAACCGGAATTCCAGATTGGAATGAAATGGGTGACCAGCGTTCGGTGATTTTCAGTGGTTGTCTAGCCTATGTCAATCTTTACTGGAACACATCTTCAAATCAAACAAATCCAAATAATTATCGAATACTTCCATTCGATCATTTGATTTTCGTCAAAATCATATAAACTTAATTCTGAATAATAAAAAAGGAATATTTTCACAAATTTAGGTATCCACTCAAATGTTAACCGCTCAAAAACCTACTACAATTCGACGAACACCCGGGGTGAGTGTGCTTTGAGTATGCCATTTTAATTTTTAGACACCAACTGAAAATAGTTCTAATATCTGAAATATATTGCTACAATTAAAACGTTTATGAATACAAAACTAGTAACTTGTATGATCTTTTAGAAATGTGTCTACTTAAAAAAACTGTGTGATGAACTGAGAGCGTTCAATTGTAAAAGGAAAATATTTATGTTACTTCAGTTCACCAACAGATCACGAAATTGAATTTGCCAGCAAATGTTCGACAGGTAAAATATATGCGCAAGCTGTAAAGAAAACTACTAACACTTTTGGATTTTAATAATCAAGAATTTAGCTGCGAATTTGTACAAGTAATTTAAGGTTTCGCCACTTTCTTCATACGTAATAAAATCTTAAATAGTAATTGTTTTACATTGTTGCAAAGTACTTTATTAGATTATGTGTACTTTAAATTAAGAATTTAGCATAGCATAATTAACAGTTTTCAGTATGTCTTAGAGTACAACGTATCGTTTAAATACTACAATTATGATTTTGAAAACGTAAGTATTTATTATGTTTGAAGATCTAGTTATTTCTGTAAATTTTACTACTCAGAAAATCAGAATAAACTGACTAGCTTAAAGAACATTGGAGATTTACACATCAAAAGAAGATGTGTCGGATTGTGAGTATGAACTACAACAAAACCTAGATCTACTGAGCAAACGTTTCTTTAATGTAGTTGTCAGTTTACCATGTTAAACCAAATTCAACCTCTGTCAGTAATGGAATTTTAACGTCTACTAAATCCAGATTATACTTGATGGTGACAGCCATCCACACTTTTCATATTAGAGGACATTTTGTTGTCGTTGGCAGTACGTGTTAAACAGCTTGTTGTTTCAGTCAGTGATGCGAGGATCAAAGCTGTGTGATGGTTTTAATCGGAAATGCCAACCAGGTTGCAAGAATATTCGGTCGATGTGCCATGATTATGACTAAACCTCTTTCTTAACCGGTTACCCGTCATCGTCAATCACTTAAGATATCTTTCCGACACAGCGAAATTATTAGCGCTACAAATTTTGTGCATGTTTTTTTAGAATATCATCAAACGCATGGCCATTTTTGTATTTTTTAACAAATTTTTTTCATCCCATTTCCCAATTTTGTAAATTCCGTTTCATCCAATCAAACGGCTAGTTTTAAGTTAGCTATAATTTAAATTTGGCATAAAATGTCAGCACTTGTCGACAAAGTAAAATTTCTACACATTATGGACGGTAGTAGCGCACAAAGTACAAGGTTTGTTGTTTCTCACGATGCCACAGAAACGGATAAGGTATTTTTGAATACATTGTATCTCGTAGCGTTCCAATCACTTGAAGCGTTAAAGAGCATCATCAGAAAGAGCTACATTCTGCCATTATGCGGTGAGAGATTCCCATTTTCACAGAGATTGAAAGCCGTATTTTAAATTTGTATGTTGGAGAAATATCCGTAGAACACCTGATAATTCTCATTTTGACGCTTGATAAATAAATGTAGGGTTTTATTTATTACATTGAAATTAAAAGTCAGTATACCTAAACATTAATTTACACAGTTGACCTTATTCGTCTTAAGTAGTATAATTGAGATAGAAATTTATTTCGTCAGACTCAGGCTTGTTCATTTACACTTAATGCAACCAATATTTCAAATGCTTGCCAAAAATAGATATTTTTGTAACGTTTAGCTATTTCGGGTTTGACATTAAAAGAATAATATTCACATATGACGGAAAATGTACATACCGTTTAACATATGCTTAACAAAGATAACCGATGATTAGAAAAATAATTCCAGACATTCTAAATAAGTAGCGTTTGAAATGTCATTTACAAATGACATTAAAAAAATTCAGATTATGATTTGGTCAAGCTGCTCACTTACAAAACGATTGCTGTTGACATTACATGCATTCACTGACAGGAGTGTATCAGGGTAGTGAAATGGAGTTGGTGTCTTTTTTTTTCGAAGTTCAAATTTTTATCAAAACTCGAATGGAACAGTCAGACATAATTATTTATTACAAATAAAATTCAAATGTAAAAATGCGAATTCTCACATCCAATCAAGCACTTTATGCTATTCCGATTTGAACTAATCAGATTACAAAGATGCACATTTTACAGCCAATTAAAAAGTTACCACAGGTGACAAAATGTTTGTTTATTACCACTTGAGCACACATTTTCAAAAACAAGTTCACCAATTCGTGAATTTTTAATCACACCCTATAATTTCTAGTAAATGGGTGGTAGTAAATCACAATGGCCGTGCAATTAATGTCAACCACATGAAATACCTCTTGGTGTTCCGCTGGACACCTTTGAACTCAAAACCCCAGAAACAGACAGGCCAGTTTCCGGTACTCCTTCTTTATTGCCTAAAAGGTGGATAAATTCAAAGCACAAATGAGTCACGTGTTTGCAGTTGGGCCCTAACACCAGATCCTACAAATCTGCTCAAAAGAGATGTGTTAGCGGCTTGATTTGAGAAGACACGGTTGCTGGGGATCGAAGTTGCTCTTAGCTGGTAAGCTTGACGCACCCAAAATTCTTAGCCAACTGGCACTTACTGAACCAAATTTCCTTTCTTCAGCAAAATTTGACTAGTTATCTATGTAGGATGTGTGCTACGATATTCCGTAGTAAGTACTTTTTGACCCTACGCTGAACAATCATCTTTGTGCTATGATATCGAGTGGATTGCTTCTCCATATATCTGTTTCATTGAGGCCTAAGAGGGTATCGAAACGCATCCGTATTTTCCTGCCTAGTGAAGTTTTGGTGGAGAGACCACGTTAACTTTCCGAGGACTTGTGTAAAACGATAGATGAGCAGGGACCTCTCTGAAATCTCTTTAGTGGTCCTTACATTCGATTTTTGTGGAGCATTTTCAAATGTGCCAAAAAGGCGTTCGATTCAGCCATTAGATTGGGGATGGAATGCAGGTGTTCGGACGATTTAGTTTTGCCGACAAAACTCTGAGGAGATAATAGACGTAAACTGTGTTCCATGGTAGCTAACTACTATTTTTGAAAACCCGACAAGAATGATTGGTTGACATAGTTATCTGACTGTACAGCTTGCAGTTGAATGTTTCATGAGAAAAATTTCTGACCACTTGCTGTATTTAATAACTATCGAAACGTAAGTTTGTCCGTAAAGTAAACCAGGGAAGTCCGATTGTATATGCTACCACAATGACTGTGGTGCTGGCCATGACTGCAGCGCGGTTTTTTTGCTAATGTGCATTTAATATACAGATGGGATAGATGCTCCAGTTGGGTGTCTAAACGTGGCCATTACACATAACTTCGCGCTCGCGCATTCCTCCGATTTATTCACGGATGTCCTGCGTGCAACTGTTCAGGCACCGCTGGTTGCAGCTTCTTTGGGATTATGACAGGTTCAGCAAACAGAAGGCAGTCATCAATGATTGAGAGAGATTGTCTGCGCTGATAAAATCGCCAAAGCTTTCTAGAGATTATCTCAAAGGGCTAATCTTCTAGGTGGGACTTTTTAATTTCTTGTAGAACTGAGTCTCGAGGAGTTTCTTCTCTGAATTCATCTGAGGACACAGAAGTGTTTCGAATGGTATCTACGACTACATTTTGTACTTCTTGTTCTAGTGCTATGGAGGCAGTGATCATGTCCTCTGTCCCAGTGTGTTAAACTTCAATCGATCGAGGGAGAGCGTCGGCTTGACCGACAGTACTTGTTGACTGATACTTGAGAATGAAGTCATAGCTCAGAAGTATTTTCGCTCAGTGCTCTGACCTGCTAGCCGTACAGAAAAGTATTTCTTTCTTGAAACCGAAAATTTAAATTTGTGGTCTGTCAGTAAAGCAAACTCAGCCGTAGAGCATTTTCTGGAATCGTTTAATAACGAAAATTATTGAAGGGGCTTTCCTTTCCATCTGGCTACAGTTCCGCTCGGCTGATGTGAGTAATCTAGCAGCATGAGCAATCGCTTTCTCTGATTTATCTGGAAACACGTAAGACATCAGTGTCCCGACTCCATGACTAGAGGGATCAGATGGAGCAACAATTCTCAAGCTGAGATTGAAGTTTCTTAAGAGAAGTTTCGAGTTGAGCATGGATATGAATTTTTCGAAAGACGCTTGAAATTCTGCTGACCATCGCCAAAGTTTGTCTTCTGAAAGTAATTTATCCAGGAAACCTCTCACTCGACGCATTTCAAGGAGAAATTAATAATAATTAACTAGTGCCAGAAAGAATCTTAGTGAAGGGTCATCAGTCAGTGCATGGATCTTTTGAATGGCTTCTATGTTGGCTGGGTCTGATCGACTACCGTTCTTATTGAAAACAAGACAAAGGGATTTTATCGAATGCATGAACAAGGTATCCTTTCCTCTAGGTAGCTGAAAACCATACTCCAACACGCGGCTAAGAATTTGACTCAGTCGATCGGAAACTTCGCTGTCAGTTGAACCCATAACAATGACATCTGGATAAGCTGCTATTCCGCGTATACTCGTTAACATCGCATCCATTATTTGCTAAAGAATTACATGTGCGGTATTGATGCAAAATGGCACGGAGATATATTGAAATATGCTTCGGTGAGTGTTTATGTTTAGAAGCTCTCTATCATCATTTACTTCAACTCGCAGATAAACATAAGAAGTCTATTTTTGCGAAACATATTCCACCACTAAGCTTAACGAATAAGCCTTCAGGAATTAAAATGGATACTGATATACATCCAGTGCAGCGTTTAAACTGATTGAGAAGTCGATACATATGAGTATAGTTTTGTTGGCCTTCTTATTTCCTACGACAGGCGAGGCCCATGCAGAGTAGTTGACTGGTTGGATTACACCAGATTGTTGGAAACGACAAAAATCCTGATCGACTAAGGTACAGGACGTTTTTGAAGAAAGATATGTTTAGCATGTGGTTTTACTAGTAAATGAACTTTCATACTGCAGTGACTAAGGTTATTTCGAAAAACCAGCGCAAATTTTCTCCTTAGCTTTTCTAGCAGCCTTTCACCTACTTTTTTTTCAAGTATCGGAGTGTTCATTGATGATGAAAATCATTATTCATGTATTCGGTCATTTATTTTTAGAAACGCGCTCACGATGCATCAAAGTCTATATCAGAAAAGGAATACGATGAGGTACGTCTAAAATTCTGTCAACGTAGCTAGTTATAAAGCAAGGTATATTGAGTCGCCTATGACAGCGGATCTTCTTATTTAGTAAATTAAAAATGCTCAGGTTACCCAAGCAGATCTTTCATACTAATCAAATTCACTAAACGTTCTTACGTTGACTTTTCTTGACATAAGCAGTCTCGAATTCCACAGCTGTGAATACTTAGTGGACAACTGTTTCATGTTATTACCTTTTGAAACTCTACATCCACTAAACTATGAATATCATTTAGTAATTAGGATTTTTTGGACAGATTAAATTTATGATTGAATCAGACAGTTATAAAAAGTTAAAACCAATTTCTTGGTGAAGGGCTGGAAGAAGCAATATTGCTTTTCCTTTTCCGTACTGTCTGTAATGATTTTGGATATACAAAGCTTTTATAAATAACAATGTTGATTCTAACAATCTGAAATGTGTCAAGAATGATAGCGTAATATAATAGAAGCATTATGCTTTACAAACGCATATACTTAGAAACATTTAAATACAGTAAGAGCTAGTAGTATTGTGTAGTATATCCCTTTTTCAGAAACCAAGGCAACTTTCCATTTTGGTCAAACTGAGGAAATATTAGGTGGCAAACTTAGACGTGATAATGGGAAGAATCCCTCATTAATAACAAAAAAGCTTTATATTCTACGCTTTTCTCGTTAATTCATATTTAAGCCTAGATTTAAACTATATGTAAGTAATTCTTAAACATTTCTTTTATATCAGTACTTGAGGTTAATTAGATAACGGGTGTCATTGTGAGAGAATTTTTTTTATAGAATATTGTGTGTATTTACCAAATAAGTTATCTAGTGTCAATATTTATTTTCATAGTAGATGTCTTGGGATCATGCACGTTCTTATTTTAAATGTGTAGTACAAATTATTTTATATTCCTAACAAGCTAAATATTTTTGAAATTGTTGTCAGTTATTCAATCCCAGCCAAGATTATAGAGCATCACCAACAACTAGTAAAAGAAGAAAAATGGATATGGCAAACACACCCATAAGCGTATCCCGTCAATGAAGATGTATTTACTGATGTCGTTTGTTATTGAATTACGTTTATACTACAATAAGATTTTACGGATAAAAATACAGAATTTACATAATGTTTTACAAACAAATATACGGTTTTTACGTATAAGTATTTCTTAAAGATAACAAACACAATGATTTTCAATAGTTAGGCATAAAAAAATACGAACTTATTTTTCACGAGTCTGTCAGTAAAAGCTTTTCAGAAATTAGTAGTTATTGCTATATTTTGGTCAAATGTTATCTATTACCTTTATGCAGTAGTGTGCTCCATCATTTAAAAGAATGATCCGGTTTAAGCGCTAATTCAGATTAAATACAACTCGGTAAATCACGGAATACAACAAATTCACTTAGATAATCCGGCGAAACTTTACAACTAATTCCAAAAACCACAATTTGTGAACTGCAGCAGCTTCTTCAAACTGCACATTTCAGACTAGTGTTTGACTAAATCACAAAGAGTGTTTTTGTTTTGCTACCCATAAAGGTTTTGTGCTTAGCTTATATCGGATAGGTGTACCCAGATAACGCTGTAATCAGTTTTCTGTGAAATGAGACCAAATGATCCAGGCTCAGTTATTCACCTGCTTTTGTGAGAACTATTGATTCTACCCAGAGTCCGTACCGAAGTATTTATTTTATTGTTTGAACACATAAGTATTGGTTCAAAGGGGAACCGAATACATATGCGCCACACAAGTCACTTGATTTGCGTATTGGCTGTGATACTGCTAGGGAGGCTCCGACGGAAGCAGGTAGTTTTCTTAGGGGGACACTCCTCGAGCCTTTGATCTGAAGGTCTGATCCACAACGCAGTGGAGCAACATCAGGAGATGCAGTCTCATGGTAGCCGATGATCAACAATTGGTTCATACGCATTTTTTTCCTTCGGGATCTTGGAGCCCATGTGCACCACTTATTTGGAATCAGGGTTTTCCAACTCCCCTGGTTAGATCCTCCATATCCACCAACTCGGTTAAAGCTCCTGATTCGCTTTTCGCCCTCTCGATTTCGAAAACAACACCCCTCTTGCGAGAAGGCAGTGAGTAAAACATCCCTAGGAGTGTATGTACACGCGTGTCCATGTGAGAGCATTTCGAGCGGAAGAGCCGACTCTCTCCGCTCTCGGCAGAAGTAGTTACAGTAAGATTCATAAGTATGACCTATTGGTTGAAAAGCGACCGATTTGATCACTGAGCAAGAGCTTAACTCTAGCTATAATTTATAACTTCAGCGATAGCGCTGTCGGCTGATTAGGAAGTAATTGAAAATCAAATATTAAAAGTTTGATCTTCATATTTATCTTTGAGGTCACTCAAACGCAGCAGCGCAAAGTATCCAGAATCTAACTGTGACAGGAATTATTTCAAACAAAACATAAATTTTCGGTTATCTTTTGTAAACTAAGAAGTAAAGGCAACCAACCGAGGTCTTCGAAATAATTGTCTAAATGATTTCTATATACTGAAACGTGACTGTAGATACATTTGACATGGGTGACGGTCCACGATCGATATTTCAATTACTGCTCATCATAAAATGTTTAAAAAATTGTAGATTCAAGATAAAGTCTCGTTAAAAAAAGTTGAATCCACTGAAACTATTACAACTAAAATATGGTACTGTCGAAATTTCTACCCACATCACTGAGTTATTTTCTTCATGAGTTACTTTCACTCTGTGATTGTACGTTATTCCAAACAAACCATAAAGCTTCCCTAATTGACATTATAATCTGTGAGGATGCTTTCGTTTATTTCGTTTTCCAACAGCAGAACAAGTGATTGAAATTACTAAACTAACACCTTAACATGTTTTTGAGAAATGTTTAACAACGGATAAAAATGAGAAGGATTACACCTTGAAGGTGAAATCATGAATTTGTAATTATAAAACATTTTTGGAAAATGAATGTACACAATATTATTACGAGAGGTTTACAGGTCAGAATATTATACAGTTTATAACTGACACTTTTATAATATTAAATATGAAAATGAGGTTTTGTCATCTTTCTTATTCAGATTATCCGAATCGTGACCGACGTATGGAGTAAATATGAGGTGAATATAGATGTTTCAAATCATTCCTACAAAAAAGCGGTAAAAAATTACATAAATCGCAAAATGACTGAATAATTCAGTAGAACAGATCGCAACAAAATAAAACTATCTGATAGTTAGCACTTATGTATGGAATAATCATCAGAGTCAAATTTATGTTTGAATAAAAACTAGCATACATGTGAAAAAGAAATAGGTAGTTTGCTGCCAATTATAGAACAGTTTTATTATCACATGCAGAACATAGTAAAGTCATTACGTCAGTTGTAAGTGCTATTACAAGTATGTAAGCGATAATCGCTTCCCAGTTGCCTACACTATGGGAAAATACTTTTCCTTAATGTACCTGGAAAGGAACTAGGTTGATAATGATCTTGGCGATCTGAGAGAAAACCTCAGGATTCAAAGGAAAATACTTTAAGCACAACTTTTCTACTCCGTAAAAAAAGGAATATATTTATTTGAGAACTCTATTTGTAACCATTGAGTTATGAACATAAGCCGTAACTTAACTACTAAAACTTAAGTGAGAAGGTATCTTCAGTTTTTCTGTAACGGGTGCTGTGCATAGCTGAGATGCAAACCATGAAACGATTACTCGATGAATACCACTAGCTTTTCACAGTCTTACAAGTATTTAGTAATATAATATTCTCATAAAGTCACTTAAGATTTTTTAGTTATTTACTGCATAATGATAATTTTTCAGATAAGTGCTTAACTATTTTAACCAACTTACTATAAATTTGCTAATCAAAATGTCAACAACTCCGGAAATAATTACCAGCATTGTTCTAGATTTAATGATCATTTAAGGTATGTAACCCTTACCGCCGAAGTTTAATTTATGGTATCAAAGTATAATACGAACGACAAAATTTGTGAAGGCGAAACAAAGTGACCAGTCAGAGATGGAGAAAAAAACAACTTTATAACAATTCATAGTTCACGATTCGCAGTTTTGGAAATACCCTGCAAGAGGGATATTATACTCTGGTTTTCAAGAGAACCACACGGTATGCAGGGTTCTTACAACCTGAACAGCACAGCTCAATCAAGTGGCATGAGCACACAGGTACTATGGACGCTGGTGGATGAGACCAGTTATAGTAGGAAATTTAAAATCAGTTCCTACCATATAAAAATGAACTAAAAAACCCAGTTAGGTTAAAAAAACAGTCAAAAGATCAACGACAAAAAATTAATTTTAACGTACACTATAGTTGATGGTAAAATCTGCGATATAACAGGTTCTTGAGCAAGATCAGATGAACTACGAAGACACAATTCATAAAGGCTGGTGTCGAAATTGAAAGTGTAACAATCAGACAATTCTACCAGCTCTGTAAAGGAAATCAGGAACAAGATTATATATGAATTGTGAGTTATTTATTTATACGTCAAATTTAAACCATAATGATGAATTCATTAGCGATGAATGAATGTATATTATCTGAACTTCGAATTAACTGTATTAGAGTTTTAGATTCTTTATGAATACATTATGCTAACTGCAACTCATGTTTCCTGTAGGAATATGTATGTAAAATTGCCAATAAAGTTACGGTTTGTTTGTTCATTAGAAAAAATGATACTAAATGATTATAGAGTTGACATCATGAGTCAATTGAAGCTAGATCACCATGGAAAACCTGGAAGCACTGGACGGCCGTTACGTCCAATTATGGAACTCCTCAGCAGTGGGCATCCACGATCCGCCCCGCCATTAGTTTCTTATGACAGGATGATAAAATCAAAATTAGATTGATTACTCATTATGATTTTTATTCAATACCAATTTGGTGATCACTTAGTATAGTATTTGTTTTGTTGCCCACTATGACATTTTATTCTGTATAACAAGATATTTTTATATAAAGTATTTTCAAAAATTAAAGATTCCCATTGTGAAAATTAGAACAACACATGTAAGCGAACAATATTGTTTTCAATTAGATCGTCATCAGGCTTTACTCTAATATACATGAATATTTATACGAAAATGTTATACCAATCAAGGCTATTTGAGTTAATAATTACAATGAAATAGAATACGTCACCAAGCATAATGGTTAAAAGTACAAGTGGATAGTGGGAATACAGGTGTACTGATAGTAGTAACATTAAATTACGATAACAAAAGTCTTATCAATAGTTAAACATTGGAAATAGGAGGTCAAACGTGGGTAAATAAACATAGAATAGTCATCACAAAACATTAAAATCATTACGTAATAAGAAGTATGTAAATAATTAGTAAAGAATCCCTGTGTGAATATTAGTGCTGAGGTATAGGTGCATTCAACTGATGAGTCACGAGTAGAACGAAGCAAGAATTCTGGATTCCCGTGCTGGTCAAAATCCATCTATTGTGAAGTACACTACATGTTTAGGTTTTTTACTGCCACGTCTGGAAAGTGATGTGGAAATTTATGTATGAGTATGATAATTATAAATATCTAGAAACATATATTATCAGACTCAAATATTCATCAATGTCTTATACTAGTGAATGCTTTGACACTCTGAAATTAAACCATTTATAAAGAAAATCTTAGATACGATATACAAAAAAATTAATTTCTCACTTTCTGTACCCTTCGACAAAACTCCTATATTAGGTATACAATGAATGTCCGAGAAATCAGAATCATCATTATCGTAATCATCATCGCCAACACCATCATGATCAACGTCATCGTCATCATCATTATCATCGTTAATTTCATCTTCAACGGTTGCAGGTGGAGGATTATAAGTCAAAAAATTATCGTTACTACTGCCACCACTGTACATGCCAATTCCTGTAAAATTGAAAATATTCTCATTGTTGAGCATTTCTAAAGCTAGTCTTTCACTGAGAAAATAATGTGAAGATCCTGATACAACGTGCGAATTATTATTATTATTTGATGTAGATGACTCTGAATATCTGCTGGAAATATGACTGGTTGAATTTCCAGCAGACGAATCTATGGATTGAAAACGATATTTTTTGAAAAAAGTTGACATTTAATTTTTATAAAGAAAAAAAAGTCA